CTGTCTGATTGTCTGATTGAATATTTTTTCTTATTCTTTTTTGACGTTTACTTTTTGTTTCTGCTAGCGCTCGCACTTTTTGCTACCAACCGACACTTGAACGCCTTTTTCTATGGCATGTTTTGCACTTTATGCATATTTTTTGCATTTATTGTGGTGCCAAAACATGTAGACGAGCCGGCTCGAGGAGTGCTGGTTGTTGAATATAGACCCAGGCTAATGTATGCTCGTCACGTTTAGCCACTTGTGTCCTGCGGGCTTCTGGCTGCCGTGTCTTCACATTCACTTAGTGGCAAGTCTTGGCTAAACCTCTTTTGCATATTGATACGCTTACATATGAAATCCACTTGCTATCCTTGCCCGAACCTGCCTTTCGCTTTGTAATGGAAATTAACAGCAGTTTATGTTGGACCATTGCAAGCACATGAAATTTACCAGCATAGATATGAGCTAATAATACGCATGGCATAAATTACGTGCAGGCAAAAACTAGAAAATATTTTAGTTTAGCTCAACAAACTTAATTTGCTTTAAAAGCCAAATGAAAAACAAATCCAATCGAGTACAAACAACTGCGTTATACTCTGTTCATAGTCTAATCACAGCGCAAATTAGTTAAAAGATTTATTTCTGGTACGGTTGCAGACTCTAAGCCTGTTTGTACAAATTAAACCAAAAATATCGTTCGGTTCAGACTGCTCATTAGGCAGTTAATCTGGCTTATGTTGCGATTCATAGATAATACAAATTGAAATCCGGGCTTATGTTCTATTATTTCATGGTACTTCTAGCAGAATATAAAAACTTACGGAAAATGCATTGAATTCTGGGATGTTCATGCACTGCTTGCAAAAAACACAGCGCGTGCTTAAGTGCAGTTTTGCACTGCTTGCTTTGCTGGCGAACTAAGCAAATTAAAAGTGACGCTTGAAAGTAGGCAACACAAAATTTAATTGCGGCAGCAACTGCATTTAAAGACCGTTAAAACTGACCAACCCCAATTCGTGGCAAAGCGTATACATTTTTTTTGTAGAATTTTGTAGCGAAATTGTTTGCTCGCGGGCCATAAAAATGCACATAAAAAACCAAGCCGAGCACCAAAAAAACATACACAGACACTCGAACAGCCAACAACCCTCGGCGTAACAATTTCGCTTGGCACGCAAAGCAATTAAAGCAACAACGCCAACTTTTGGCGCCCAAATGGCGCACGAAGGCGCCTCAATGTCAGCTCATTAAAGTTTAGTGGGCGTATTTTGCATATAGCCAAAACATGCTAGACGCAGTGCAGCCAGCGGGAGGGAGGCGAGTTCTCAACTGGCAGCTGATAGACTGTTTGTTGCTGCCACGCCCACATACGAAAAAACTTTCGCCAAGTCAAGGCGAGCAACAAGACGGCAAGGCGCAAACTTTTTTGCTAGCGATAAATCAAATTTTTGCTTGTTAACTCGCTCGCTTAAATTAAGTTGAACATTAGCACAGCCCACAGGACTGAAAGGTGTGAGAGGCCTAAAAGAACGCGTCCAAAAACCGCGCTCAAATTTTATGTAATTTAAAGCATTTCCTGGCAAGAGGGAGATCGAGAAGCAGGAAATGCCCAAATAAGGCGACGGCGTCGGCGGCGGCGTCGCTGCTGACAGCTAATGAAAATATTTGGCAACTTTGCTCGAACGAGCCTCAAGTTTGAGCCTTGAGGTAGGTTTGGTAATTAGCGCAGTGCATATTTTAGGCGGGTTTTCGTTTTGCACTAAAGGAAAAGCAATGAAAAGAAAAGAAATGAGCTTGCAAAGTGTTGGCTCAGCTGAAATGCATAAAAACTTAGGGAAATTAGATTAGTTCGCCTTGCGAAAGAATGCAATCATCATTTTTTTTTTTTGTTAAGACGAATAATGGCTTAATAACGGAAATATTCAAGACATAATTTAATTCAGCTATACAGGAATTTAAAGAGAAACTATTAGGCCACAAATTTAATTTGTAAATTGATTTTATGAATTATTTATGCTTTACCTAGTGTAAATTAACAGAGGATACTTGTGCAAATGTAGGAAGCATCTCCTATTTGATAAAGCTTTAATATATATGTAGATATATATATTTTTTTTTTATATTGTTTAAAAGACTATTTGGGAAACTTGGAACGGTGAACAACTATTGCAGATGTTATAATAAACAGTTGCCTGTAAAACTGAATAAAGTTGACTTCGATTCTTTGCAGTTTCATGTATACGACTAGTAATATATAATGTTTGTATTTGTACATTGTACGTCATTGCAAGAGTGTTAGAAACCACAGAATGATTATAATTTCCAACACTATCATTGGAAGAACAGCTAGGCTGCAATTTAAGGTAGGGTTGCACTGTGGAAAACCCAAATTTGTTATCTTTCTTCTTGAGGTCTTACATTTCGGTTCTTCCCAATATGGGAATTCAAGTTTTACAAAATCTGTACCATTTTAACTAAACTTCGTGCGCCGCTTGTATCATTTTACTCAGCTTTCCAAATGTCAATTTTTAAAGTATTTTTATCTTCTATAAAATATTTCACTAAGATTTAGTTCGAGTGTCGTCACATTTTGTGATGTTATCTAGCACAACACACCAAGGTTGATTGTCCTCTGCGACCATTGGCAGGTCAACAGCCCATTTCATGTGATTACTCACAAAACGCAGCTCAGGGGGAGCATCTATCTAAACACACACACAAAACGACGCCCATGCAGCAGATCCCCAATCAGAGCTGATCCACACACCCACCCCACTGCCCCCTCTCAACAGTGCAGCTCAGGGCGCCGCCTGCTTGTTATTGTCATTGTTATCAACAATGTCAGAGCAAACAGCAACAACTACAACAATAAATAGAGGCCCATAGCTACGGCATGGCCTGATGAGGGGTTGCGCTAGATGTGTGGGGCACGTCTCATGTGGGCATATGTTAAACATTTTGACACTTTTGCGCACGGTTGAGCCTCTGCCGCCGAAGTCGACGCCAACGCCAACGCTGAACTTTGACAATCTAATGGAACTTGATGAGGGTACATTTCCGCTTTAGCCAAAATTACAACGACAACAAGAGCTAAAGTTACCTCTTGCAGATTTATTTGAATCACAAAATAAAAAAAGAAGCTAGTTGCCCAAATTTGTAAAAATTTGCATTTGTTGTTGTGGACTTTTCCACCTGTTTCCCAGCTGGTCAGGTGCATTGGTCGCCGATAATCAACGAACTGAAATCAGCGAATGCCAGAATTTTGTTACATTTTGTGTGATGCCAACTGCAATTGCAAAAGGGGGTCGGTTTTTTGCGGTGTAGTTTAAACCAAACCACATTAGCGGTTGCCACTGAGCTTTGCTGTGGCCTCATGCGCAGTTAACGCCAGATTGAAGTTCGGTGGCGAGCGTGGGACCAACCAGAGCCGGGGCCTGTTGGCAGTGGGTTTTACTGGGAACTGCTAACGGGACAGCAACTGAAACTTAATTAAGTGTTGGTTGAAGGCCCTTTGGGCCGGTTCCAGGGCAAATATTGCTCAGCGGTTGTCGATAAATGTTAACTGTTTTTGGTTTTTGCGGACTGCAGTTGATTTTATTGGACTTTTAATGATACAGCGAATGGGCGAATCAGTATCTGGCTAGAAAATACATTTAAATTCCTTTTTTTAATATACTTGTTTTGTTTTTGAACTCCTAATAGAATACCTTTAGAAACCCAAAACTATTTCCGATTAAAAGCTTTAAGTAAATGAAAATTTAAGGTACACATGAAAAACTGTCTGCGTTAAAAAAATATCAAAGATATTTATAAAACTTGTGTTAAGATTTTTAAAAAAAATATGGTTGGTTTTTGCTGCTTTTCTATTCTCAAAGAGACTCAATGCGTATACATTTATTTTGCTAAATAACAAAGAAAATGTTACACAAAGAACTCAAACACAATGAAGGAACACTCAACACTCTTAATTGCGACTTTGGATTTATTATTTTTTAAATAATACAAATAATCTAAATAATAGGAATAATCTCGCACATGATAGTACTCAGTACTTGAATTTGACAAGGATAAAACTGCAAGTCAACATAATATAGAAACATCTGGGTACCACAACTTAAACATAGTACAAGGTTTGCGGATAAACACCTACATACAGACAAAGAAAATAGCCTGTTACACAAGAATTGATTGCACCCTCATTTTGTGTATGCGGAGTATAATTATGCTTGTTAAGACATTGCCGCTAAAATACCCGCGAGACACAAAGGCGCCCTATTTTATGTAATTCCCAAGCCGACATCCTCTGGGACAACGCATGGCAATTGGTTTAGCTGCTGGTGGGGTGTGGGGGCTCCCTTCCCCCTTAGCAACGCTGCCAATTTTCGTTATCGTTTTCAAATTGAAAATTTGCGTAATCACATTTTAAGTGAAAATCGTTTTACAAATGAAATTAAATCGATTTTTTAGCCAGACACTTAAAGCGAGATACGAATCCTTGGCAAAAGTTACGCATACGCCGCGTTTGGCGTTTACATTATGGCTTCTCATATCCGCTTCCGTTGCCGCTTCCACTTCCGTCTCACACAACTTTAAGTCCGCTGCACTTTTGCGTGAAATATGCGGCGACAACTTCTTCTTTTGCTGTTTTTTTATATTTTTTTTAAGTGTCGACCCGATGCGTTTCAAAGCCCCATCAACGTCATCAAATCGTTAGTCAAATACGCAAAAACTTTTCTAGTTTTAGAAGAAGGAAAAGGAGCTGGGCAGCAAGGTGGTGGGAGGTGAGGGGTATTTTACTTGGCAATAAAAATGATGAAGTGCTGTGTGAGTACTTCAAAGTGCAGCCCAGCTTACATTCTTATGGGGAAACTGACTGAGCTCGAGAGTAAAAATATGAGCATTGGCTGCAGTTGCTGTCTCTTGGATCTAATACAGGGTACATCTGTTTTATCAGGTTATATATATTGTTACTGAATCAAGTGAGCCTTGATTTTTCACTTAAAAACAGTTGATTCTTACAACGAGCACTGATAGTTATCCAATCTGAGGAATTTCTATAAGAATTTCTATACCATGAACTACATGCAAGTATTTTGCTTTCTAGTTTTGATTAGTGGAATAATAGCTCCATATAATAAAGTCATTCGGTCACGTAAGTAATGTATATCAATATTTCAAAATCTCATTGTCTATACTTCAGCCGAATGCCTCTATATGGCTGATAAAGGACCCTGTGATGAAAATGTCCGAGTTTTTGGCTATGATTACCTAACCAATCGCTGTGTTCATTTCTATTATGGTGGCTGTGGGGGCAATCCAAATCGTTTCGCTACAAGAAAGGAATGCATGGACAAATGCTTTGTGGACAATGCGGAAGGACAGGACCTGGAAGAAGATGCTAAGTTTAATATGTACTACAAAGATGATTTTTAACGTGAAAAATTAAACTAATTCTGTTGAAGAACCAGAATAAGAGCATTTATGCAGCAATTAATACAGTTTTTGGAACTATGTAGATAATAATTTTAAAGTTACCTTTTTTTTAAGGGTTGTCTTATAAAAATTGTATTTATTTGTAATACATAGTAATATATACATATTACTATTAAAGTACACATATTATAAAAGTAAATAAAAAATATGCGATGCTCTAAAAAGATACTTAAAGATCAATTATATATCTTTGTTTTTTGCTCTTGGGAAAAAAAATACAAAAATCTATTTAAATATATATTTGCTTGAATTTTTGCAGTCAGATGTTACTTATTCAATAATTAATGTGGCATATGCGCTAATAGTTCCCTGATTATAAACTATTATTATTTTCGAGGGTATAGCAGCGTCGGCTCGTCCTTTTTACACTTGCTACTCTACTATGCTACTGCTATATGTGCAATCGCATAATTTCAGTTGAACTTTCTTTTACCCCGTCGAGTTGCAAGTAATGCGTTTTCTTTTGACGTCGACTGTCTGCATCACTCTCTGTCTCCCTCCCTTTCACTTGTCTGTGTCTCTTGCTGCCTCTCTGTATAGCCGTCTGTTTGCTGCCAATCTGAGCGGCCATTAAGTCAAACAGCTCGAGCAATTTTATTTGCTGCAGCTGAGTCTTCACTGCATTCAGTGTTGCGGCATGTTTCTAGCATCTTATTTTGCTTCAAGACCCTTGACAATTTTTGACATGTAATTTGCTCTGCATGCGCGCTAAATAAGTTAACTCCAGACATAACGCGCTCATTCTTTAGTTGTTAATAAACCATTTTATATAGAAATACAGATTATTTGAGGTAAGATCGTGCATTGCGTCGGTGTAAGTGAGACAGCAAGAGTGATCGTCACGTTACTTATGTGAATATATAGTTGAACTGCTCACACACTTAGGTCGCAAGCGAACGACTCTCTAGGAGAGAGTGAGACAGCTGCAGACAGCACATTTAACGAACGCGAGCCAATTGATTTTATTGGTAGAAAAATGTATGCAATGATTTAGCAAGATGGCTTCAAAAACATGGCAGACGCTACTGTTTATACTCTGTTCGCGAAGTGAACAATTATTATTACTTTTCATTTATTATTTTTTAGTTTTGAGTATGTATTTGTAAGTACACGTGATCGCACGGTTGGAATTTACACACATGTGTCTAAAAAAATGAATGGTTTCTGCTATTTTCTCCAACTCGTTCTCCAGCCTTACAAAAAAAAACTATCTAAGCTCAAAGTACCCCAATTCAATTTTTGTTTTATTAAATTTTATTAAATATGTAAATTTTTTACTTTTTCCTTTATGAGCTCGCCTTCAAAAACTTAAAAATTCACCTTTTATCAGACCAAAGTTTGAGAGTCATGAGAGTAAAAGCTTAAAGGCCGCTATCCCCATCAAGTGGGTTTTTTCTTTCTGATTTTTATTTTAATTAAATTCCACACAGACGCATCTATTGTACAGTTAACTAGCCCAAATAAATTTGTATATTAAATTTTTGTGCATAAAAATTTACCCTATACTGGAAATGTTGCGTTGGCACCCAACAACCGCAAGCTCCAAGCACCCCCACTTGGTCACTTCAACCAGCCATTTATTTTAATTTATCGCATTTTTAACAACCCGCACATAACGTCATGCATTTTATTGGGCAGTCCAGAGACCTTCTTTCTCCATGCCACTTACCCACACCAATCATTATAATACCTGATACACCTGATGCTGCACGAATGGGCCAAGAATTTACCTCAAGCTGCTCATTAGCCATAAAAGTAGTCACATCCACACGCAGGCCAAGTGGCAATTAAATGCCGAAAAACAACATAATCAGTCATAAAAGTAAACCCTGACCCCGGCCCCAAAAGAGCAACGTGAGCGGCAAGTTAAGTAGCAGGGAGAATTGACGTGGGATGTAGGTGAGGATGTTGCGGAAGTGTCACATGACCAGCTGGACATATGCGGCTGGGGTTCAAATTTAACTAGATCTCTGGGTGTGAGCGGCTTTTATGTTGCTAATTAAGCCACAAATGCCTTTCGAGCCTCTAATGAGCGAACACTCTGACAAAGAGGCGCAAATAAAGGCAACACTTTCTCCTAAAATACTTCAGCTTTAATAAACTAAAATGTGCCGTTTGCCAGAATTGGTTCTAATTAGAAGATTTGCTGTATATATCATTTTTGAAAATAGTATATGTAATATATGTAAATTAATGAAATATTGAGATTTAATGTAAAGAAATAATTAACTTAAGCAACACAAATTAAATGGATATAATATTCCTCAAATTTGCTTTTGCTCAGGAATCCTTGTTTTACAAACATTATTAAAGTCAATTTTTAATTATGCAGAAGTATAGTATGTGAGAATATTTATCGACTGTAAGATCATATTTTTTCTTGCGTTTTTCAAGGACATTTTATTCCGAATCATTTACCATAACGCCGAGCTTCCCAGTATATGTTAATTGGAATGGAATTAAAATCAAAACTGGCCTAAATCGAATGTCTCTTTTGCTTTAGGATGTCTGTTTGATTATCATAAATTGGATGCTGTTAAATACTTTAGTATTTACTATTTCTATTTCAAATAGTTATTTAATTTCATGTTTAACTCATCACAACTTGCCTCAATTTCCATTGAAACTCAATTAAGTCGCTTTTAATACCCCGGTATTTACATATTTTTAGTTCCAACTCAACTTTAGTCACTTAACCAACTCCACTTTATTTATTTGGGCATCAATTCGTGTCTCAATTTAAGTCCAGGCTGTGAAAACTCGGACATCAAAACACACGCACGCACACGTTGAAACATATTTCACAATAAATTAAATTTCATAGGCTCTTGAATTGTTGCTCAAAAAATTTAAATAGGTCAAACATGCATTTAATTTCCGCACGAATGAAATGAATTTGTCTGCTCGACTTGCCTACAGCTGTCAGCTACATAAAAACACACATACACAGGCACTGGCAGCCACACCCACACTGCCCACACCGCCCACAGATGACACGTAAGACTGGCTGATTCACCTGCTGTGTGTTGCTCGGCATTTGCACACTTAACTTCTTTGGCTCCATTAAAATCTTGCTAAATAAATATTTAATGCGTGAACAACTGGGAAATCGAGGAGCTGCTACGCAAAATGTATATATATATATAAATATGTGTGTATATAAAGACGGCCAGACCTGAAGTCGGCGCAACAGCCTGCCAGATGATTTATGAGCTACACTTGCGCCATGGTTGGAGGGGTGGAGCCCAGGCAGGCCTGGCGGCTCCTGGACCGCTTTTTGTGCCTCGGCTAATGGCTCATAATTGATTTTTATGCCTATTGTTTGGCCCTGGCCCTTAAAATGGCGCGTTGTTAATTCGACGCACTGCAGCCATGTTGCCATGTGGATTGGGTGGAGTATATTAAAATCTTATAATTTCAGCCACATTCGAAGTGTGCATAAATTAATGTGAATGCCACAAAATTTGCGTTTAATGATGCAGCTGCAATTGGTCAATGGCTCGAATGGCGATTTAGCTTACTCTTAAATAATTTTGGATATGGTTTTTTGTAGCTCATGGCAATGGCTATATGCAAATTGAAATATTAAATAGATAGACATGGTTATTTGAAGAAGGTATAAGAGTAAAAGTTAAATTAAGGAGTCTGTTACTATTACATTTATATTCGAAGACTTATCTTTAATTTAGTTCTAATACATTGACGATTAATTTGTATGAGTAGTCCTTAACTTGATAGTTAAAGTTATTTTTTCCTGTGAACATATTTTTATACTCTATATTTTATTTATATATTATTAATTTGTAGAGGTACTCTCAGAATATGTTTTATTTTTACTCCCACAAAATTGTGTTTAATTTTTGCCAACATTTGCAAATATCTCTTCTTCATCTGGTTGACTTTCATATAACCGCCATACAACAGCTCCTTATCAAAAAGAACACCCCAACTTTATTTAATAATTCTAATAAGAAGCAGGGCAAAAACATTCCCCACACCACCCACGCATCTCTACCCCACGAACAGTCTGTTGCCTTCGACTAAAATCTAAATAAATAAATGTCCGTTTACGACACCTATGTACGTGGCCATCAGCAGGCAGGTCAGGCCAGGCTAGACCAACCGGACCAGACTAGACCCCAATCGACCCGATCTGCGCAGACTTGGACCGGGACGTAGCGCCCACCTTTGGCATGTGAAGCATCTCATGCATTCGCTTTAATAATGCGCATAAATTGGTAGACCCCTCCCTGGTCCTTTTGACTGCTTCATTCCCTTGCTCCAGACATTCGCACAGAGTTGAATGGTGGCAGCTCCTCGGACACGCGTGCGTTCATTTCATTTGGCTTTTGTTTGACTTGGCCCCGTCTATCTCTAGCTCAAGCTCCAACTCCCACTCCGACTCCCCTAGCGCTGTCTGTTTAGCTGGGCATTGTTTTTGGAGCCTTCTCTTGCCACCCATCCCCCGACTGGCCCCTAGCATATTTTTGCCAGCGTTTAATCTTTAATTTGCCCACTACTGTGTGGGCTACCCTCTGAGCCCGTGCAGTCTGCCGCCTGCCTGTCTATCCAACTGTCGGCTGCCAGCTCCGTGGCTCGCCTTTGGCCCCCAGCTCAATTTATTTGTTTTCAGCTTAGCTTTTCGGGGGAGCGACGCATTAAATTAAATACTTAGCCGCTGGAATAGTAAAAATTATGCCAGCATTTAAGTGTTTAATATCCGTCTGAGACTTCAGCTCCGGCCGGACCCCCTTCGGGTGACTGCCGCGCCAAGCAGCTCGAATATTTATTAGTTGACTTTAATGGAAAAGCCAGCCAGCAGTTGGGCACACCAAATTGTTTTTGGCCACTGAGTTATGAGGAACCATAAAGAAATTTGGGTTGTCCCTTTCGAAGATGTCACTTTAAGGAATTAAGTTATATGCGCGTTCATGCAAATTATGCGGCAATTATCATTTTTCTTAATATTTAACTTCATGTATTTTCCGCCATTGTT